CTATCTAAGAACTGTTTCTCTATTTCTTACACATTATTACATGTTCAGATATTTCAGTGAGTAATCATTTTTAATAAGAATATAATATGTGAATAATCATTTCTAATAAGAAGACAATGAACATTTTTCAAGTATAAGAGGCCTACACTGAATAGATTGATATAATATTTATAGATCTTATATAACGAAGTGAAAAATGTTAGAGAAGGAAAGAAAGAGAAAGTGTGAGAATCAGTGATTGAAGTGAATATTTATACGTGTATGTGGTGGAGCTTCGAGGCGGAAGAATAGAAATTTCATAGGTTTTTCAGCCGAGGATCAGCGACCGAGAATCGGAATGATAGAAATCTGTGAAGTGTAACGGAATAGTCTATATGATTGATCGGACGCAGCCCGCCACAATGATCTTCAAAGTTCTGCAAACTTCTGAGTCAATAAAATCTCATGTAAATATCTATGAACTTCTTCAAAGTTCTGTGAACTTTCAGATCAATGAGATTAAGAAAAACAGCATACAGTTTGAAGAGTATGAAAAGCTTCTCATTGCTAGCAGAGAATGAGAATGAGGAAATACTGATTATCACACAGTTGTGAGATGATGAGATCTCTGAAAGAAATGATGCTATAAGGTGATGAGATCTTTGAGAGAAATGATACTACAAGGTAATGAGATCTTCAAGAGAAATGATGCCGCAAGATGATCAGATTTTCAAGAGAAATAATGCTGTAAGATGATAAGATCTTTAAGAGAAATGATGCTATAAGATGATGAGATCTGTAAGGAAAATAATACTGTAAGATAATAAGATCTTTGATCTTTTTTTAACTTCACTGATCTTTTATAAACATCTGTGAATTTCTTTGAAGTTGTGTGAACTTCTGAGTCTATTAAATTAGTTAATAAGTGAGAAGATAAATTCACTATATTGAAGAAGAAATGAATAACACTATACTGATATTTTTGAATCTTTTTTTTCTTTCTTTCTCTTCTTCTCTTCTTCTCTTTTTCTTGTCTTCTTCTTCATGATTTAAAAAAATCAATATAGTATCTTCTCTCTCTGCAACATTAATGCAGATGCACTCATTCTGCTTTCTTATTAGTAAAAAGAATATACTTACTACTACTACAGCTATTCTGTATGAATAACTTCACTTTGATAGAGTTCATCACTTACTGTACATGTCTATTTAGCATGAAAAGTATAATGAGAATGAAATGAAATACTAACTCTGATAATTAACTCTTTTTTCTGCACTCACACTTATGTTCACTCTTGCTTCTCTGCTCTCACTCTCACTCTCACTCTCACAGATGAGAGTGAGAGTGAGAAAGTATCTGAGACTTCTTTCCCTTCTTTAAAGAATGAAGATAATAAGCTGAACTTATTCAGATAGATATGAAAAGCTTTCTCTAAATAAGCATAATATAATAAGAGAATAAGAAGTTAATATTATTATATAACAGCTCTTGCTCTTATCTCTCTTTCTTTTTCTCAGACTTCTTCTCTTCTCTGTTCTTTACAGAGAAACAAGTTTCATCAGAGTCAATTAAGTAAGTAATATAAATATGAATGAGATATATGTAATAGAGAAAGAGTCAATTATTAATATATTATATTAGCTTTTTCTTTCTCTCTTCAGAGTTATTATAACTCTCTCTGCTCTTCTCACTCTTCTCATCTTTTACATTAATGAGCTTATCTCTCTCACTCTCTCAGTTGTTTTCTATATTAAGCACTCTCTTCTTCTCACTGCTGCTGCTATTATTAATAATATTATATAATACTTCTCTCTCTCTCAATACTCTGTTCATCAGCCATGTCTGTTGAGAGCAGGCACAGCTGATAAATCAGTCAAGACAGGGTTGAAATTGAATGATAAGCAAGAGCTTATCATTCTATTAGTCTCAGAAATCAGAGAAATGATGATTAGTCTTTTATTAGAAGTTTCAGTACTTCTCTCTGCAGAAGCAGAGAGTATGAGATTATATTAATTAGATAATAAAGATAGAGCTGAGTGAGCAGCTGCTGAGAGAGAATAGATATACTGTCTATTAAGAAAATAATAAGAAATGTTGAGTGTACTCTAAAAAGAGAAGAGCTGAGATAGTCAAGTCCGAAGATTCTTATTCTCACTGTTAGATTGTTACATATAAGAGTGAGTATAACATCTTCAAACACAATCTTAAGAATCTCAGTACATTCTCATTAACATAATCATATCAGTTACTATTAAAGAGATTATCTTCTTCTTTATCAGAAATAGACTGACTGCTGAGATTATGAATTGCATATTTAATCTCATTTAATCTGATTTCATACATTTCTTAACATGAATCTCACTGAGACTAGTCATTTAAAAAACATGCAAAGTGACTAGACTGGTCACCAGAATCATGAATTTCATGTTTGATCTCATTTGATCTGATTTCATACATTTCTTGGCGTGAATCCCGCTGGGACTAATTATTAAATAAACATGTAAAGTGAGTCGTGACTATATATCAGATCTCAAAATGAAATCATGACTTGAAAAAAATGAGAAAGTGATCTCATTTGATCCCATTTAGTCTCATTCTTGGCATAAAGTTACTATTTTTAGACATTTTAAGGTTTTTTTTAGACTATTTTTAATTTTTTAAAAAGTAACACTTTTTGATAACACTCAAATGAGATTTAAAGTCATTTAAAGCAATAAAAATAATTTAAATTGAGAAGTGGAAATCATGATCTCATTTGAAAAATGTGATAAGAGTAGACAGTAAGTCTCACTGAAACAGTATGAGACTACTATTTAATGTTAGAACCGTGTAATGAGATCTGTTGAATTGACAATGAAACTATCAAAAATTCTGGTCCTGGTTTCAGACACGGTCACACGGTCAGTCTAAAAGTGACTATATATCAAATCTCAAAATGAAATCATGACTTGAAAAAAATGAGAAAGTGATCTCATTTAATCTCATTTAGTCTCATTCTTGACATAAAGTTACTATTTTTAGACATTTTAAGGTTTTTTTAGAGTATTTTTAATTTTTTAAAAAGTAACACTTTTTGATAACACTCAAATGAGATTTAAAGTCATTTAAAGCAATAAAAATAATTTAAATTGAGAAGTGGAAATCATAATCTCATTTGAAAAATAGAATAAGAGTAGACAGTAGGTCTCACTGAGACAGTATGAAACTACTATCTAATGTTAAAACTGTGTAATGAGATCATTTGAATTGATAATAAGACTATCAAAAATTCTGATTCTGGTTTCAGACACGGTCACACGGTCAGTCTAATCAGAAAGCAGTGTTTTGATAATTTAGATTCTTATTTTATTTATACTGCTCTGCTTTATAAAGAAGATTTCAAGTGAAACTCTAATAAATAAGTAATCTATATAGATGAACATGTTGAAGATTCTATACAGATATTCTTTATAAGTATCAGTTATAAATGTAAATTAGTTAATATTGAAAAATAATATCTTAAAAATAAAATTTATCAGATATTAGTTATATTTATTTTAAATCTTGATATTTAATTAACTTATAAGTTGACAGAACAATGCAGAAGTTCTATTATTAATATATTTATCAGTAAAAATATAATATTGTATATTAAATGAAGATGAAGTAAGTAAAGCTTCAGTATATTCATCAATTTTAGTTATTCTTCTTCAGAATTGTTTTTAAAGTATCAGATAGATTATTTATAGTGAATAAAGATAGTATATTTTCAATGAAAATAGAATCTTACTTTATATTATTATTGAATTTCTCAGAATAAGACTTAACTTCAGCATTAATAATTATATTATTTAAATTCAAGTTCATTGCAATTAACTGCTGCTGAATTCATACTTGATTAAAGTACTTAATCTTCTTCTTCAGACTTTTCACTTTAATTAAAAGTATATTCAAGAAGTCAAACATATGTTTCTTTGATAGTAAAAGTAAATCTTGAGATAAGATATAATTATTCTTCAATAGACTTCTAGTAGTAGAGAATATCTCAAGCTTAGTAATAGCACTTGTATATTTCTCAGTAAGTGAACACTTGATAATAGACTTTAAAATTCATCATAGCTGATGAACTCATGTATTTAATAAACAGACTTAATTAAATATAAGATAGATATTCTTTATTAAATTTTTATACTATTTCATCTTCAGCTTATAGCTATCATTAAGATGTTTCATATCTAAATCAATTTCTTTGAAAAAGTCAGGTTTTTCAGATCAGTTGACAAGATCTGTAATTATAATCACTCAATACAGAGAAGAGATTTTAACAGATTAAAGTATTCAAAAATAATGAAGTATCTCAGTGATATAATTATATTAATCAGTATTAAAAAAGAAGATAATTAGAGATGAAATAAAGTACTCAAGAAGTTTAATATTATCATGCTTAACTAGACTGATTATATAACTGTGTCTGAGATCAGAATCAGATTTTTTGATAGTTTCATTATCAATTCAACTGATCTCATTACACAGTTTTAACATTAAATAGTAGTTTCATACTGTTTCAGTGAAACTTACTGTCTACTCTTATCACATTTTTCAAATAAGATCATGATTTTCACTTCTCAATTTAAATTATTTTTTATTACTTTAAATGACTTTAAATCTTATTTAAGTATTATCAAAAAGTGTTACTTTTTAAAAAATTAAAAATAGTCTAAAAAAAACCTTAAAATATCTAAAAATAGTAACTTTATACTAAGAATGAGACTAAATGAAATCAAATGAAATCACTTTCTTATTTTTTTCAAGTCATGATTTCATTTTAAGATCTGATATATAGTCACTTTACATGTTTTTTTGATAGCCAGTCCCAGCGGGATTCACGCCAAGAAATGTATGGAACCAGACCAAATGAGACCAAATGTGAAATTCATGGTCCCGGCGGCCAGTCTATGCTTAACACTGCAGCTGAGATAACAGCACGGAACTAGGATATATGTTGGTGATTACTACACCTACCCTAGTCACGTGCCACCTCAACCTATTCATTTAGTTGTAACTCGCGTAGTTAGATTACAACACAACACAACAACGTTATCCTCCAAGAGGTTATGAAGCCCTCATTAAGCTAACGAAAACCGCTGAAATAACGTGCCAACTACGTCTCCACGTATCGTTACGCGTGCCTAGATGTTTTTTATGAGTGATTGAACCCATGGTTAATCTAAGATCCGGGGGGACGCCTGACTTAACAAAAGAATACGTGCCTCCAAGACGGAGAAACGAGAAAACGCCAGAGCAGCAAACGCAAGATCACAGATCACTGCCAACGCCAATAACGAATCAGAAGGCGGCTCCTGGGGCGTTTGAGCCGGACGACACGATCGTGGAAGAACGATCTGACGAGTCCAACAACGAATACGAAGACCCGGTTGAAGGCATCAGTGAGATGTCAGGCAATGCGGGGGGCCCAAGTGGCCAGAACAACAATGGCTCTGTGAGTGAGGAGACTCGCATGAGACTAGAAATTGCAAGACTCCAGCATGAAGTCGAGCGAATGAAGGCAGGCAGGAGTGAAAATGAAGAGCTCAGTGCAGATTTGGTGAACTATCTTCAACAGAAGGGTAGGACATCTGCATTGATGAAGATCCTTAATGAATTCAGGGATCAAGTAAGGCCTATAAAGAAGTCTGTTGTACTCACTGGCTCTGCAAATTACCCTATGTGAAAGGAAGAGATCCTGCTCGCAGCAAGGCAATCTGAAACGGATGACATTCTTAATGACAAGCAGATTAATCCTGACAAGGATGCCAGCATGGATATGCAACATTTTTGGTCAGAATGGAATATCTGGCTATACAACTACATGTGGTCTGCGATCACCCCGCAGGCCAAATCTCACTTTATTATACCCAAGAAGTCCCAACTATCTGCTTATTCTCTATGATCTGTCATAGAGGATAATTTCGCTGAGAGGCCTGCTGTCCGCAGAACTCGCCTGTTCCAAGAATTGATTGAGATGACATCAAAATCAAAGGGTTCTGATCACACATTTATCGAACGTTTAATCGCAATCAGGACTGATTATATCCGATTGGGATATAATGTCAAAGATTTCATGTTTTTCAACAGACTTCTTACAGGGGTTAGTAAAGGTTGGTCGTCTTTTATAAAGAATCGAATGGATGCAATAGAGAAGGATGAGAATGCTAGAACACTCGAAGATGATTTCATGAGATTGTGTCAAGATATTCTCCTACAATTGCCAGCTACTGGCAAACCTCCCACCTCCGATGGAAAGACCCCTGCAAATAACGCCCAAGACAAGGATAAGAAAGGCAAGGACAAAGACAATGACAAGGACAAGGACACTGAATCCAAACCTGAACATAGGGGTAATGACGCGAGGACATGCTACCATTGTCAAAAAGTTGGTCATATCCAGGCTGACTGTTGAAAGAAATACCCTGAGAAACATCCTTCAAACTCCAATACAAATAGGGACAAGGATAAAGACAAGGATGCGGAGAATACAGATGCTGCTCCTGTTCACAATGTCATGAAGCAAGTATTTTGCATCAAAGAAAAGGCCTATGCGAGTGACCAGACAGGAAAAGATACCTGGATCCTAGACTCTGGATCGGGCGCCCATGCCACACCCCACAGGGATCTTGTCGTGGCAAAACCTCAGAAGGTGAAAGTGATGTTGGAAATGGCAGACGGAACGGTAGTCCCAGCTATGGCTATAGGGGATACCAAGATACCTGTTGAAGGAGCGGATATGCTGCTAAGCAGCGTCCGTTACATTCCAAAATTGGAAGTGAACCTTATGAGCATGGGTAAGCTCATACATCAAGGTTATACCTTCAAACAACTGACATATGGAAATAATCACACCATATTGCTTATGTCTCCTGATAGGATGTTCTCATTTACTGCAAGATTGAATGACAGGGATATCTATGAGATAGAAAAGCCAGTCACACACAGAGACTTGATCCGATTCGCTATGCCCAATGGTGATTTTGAACCTGTGAATACACTGCGGACAAAGGCTAGGGCATCTGAATCCCGCGGATATCACGAAAATGGCGGCGGATCCACGCCTGGGAATGAGGATTATAGGTCAACGAGCTTTACCGTTTTGCAAGGTCTGTGTCCAAGCAAAAATGACACGTCCAACCTTCGCACCTATGACACGAGCTGTCAAGCCGGCAATGAGATTCTTCATCGATCTGGCAGGGGGTGGAAAAACACTTTTCGACGGGAATGACACCCCCACTAGGGGGGGTGCAAGTTATTGGTTGGGTATAACAGACGATGCAACCTGTTTATATGACGCCGGGTTGATGGATCGCGATTTGGTTGAAAAAGGGGAAATCATGATGGAACATGTTGGTTCTACAGCGAACATAGCTGACGGGCTCACCAAGCCACTGGCGAAGCCTGCATTTGAAGAATTTGTCAAGAGGGTTGGCATTCAGGAAATTGAGAAGAAGGAATGATTGAATGGTAATGATGATACGGCGGATCAATGGATTTTGCATGTATTTCTTGATTTTTACGGTTATTGCCGTACGGACGCCTTTCCTAATGAGGAAATCAGGGTCCGATTCATGTAATTAATTATTATTGCATTTTTGAAAGATTTGAGGATGGGGGAGGCCCCGGGTGGCGGCTTATTATAGGCCACGGTGTAGCAAGGGGGGGTGTTGGTGATTACTACACCTACCCTAGTCACGTGCCACCTCAACCTATTCATTTAGTTGTAACTCGCGTAGTTAGATTACAACACAACACAACAACGTTATCCTCCAAGAATATAGCTAATCACGTGACTAACCAAGGATAGCTCAGATAGCACGGATAGATTGAGCTATCTCAGCTAGGCAAGCTATCTTGCCTGAAAGACATCATGTATATAAGATCACTCATTCACCCATAGTCGAGAAGTCTTATACTTCGCGATTATCACATTCATTAATTGGAACATATTGTTTTACTTGCCAAACATTATTCCACCACATCGTATACAGTTCTACCTTATACACCTTATACCCAAGTACCAAGTTGAGAAGTCCAGCAGCCACACACCTAAGGAAGCATCAGTGCTTGGATACTCCCTGAGCTTGAAGCTTGACAGGTTACCTAGGGTCTAACTGTCCTCATACATCCCTAGACAGTCCTCCTTACTCTGGAGTCTAGACCCATCCCGGGTCCACAAAATCATGCCTTCTTAGAATCATTTCAAACCCGACTTAAGGGGAGACAGAGCGTAAACAATAAATAGTTTCTCTTTGTGTACGAATCAGGCTAGCCAGAGTTGGAGACTGTTCTCTTGTTGAGACATATAAAGCGGCATATCTCATCCAGTCGATGAACTATTCATACATAATGATCAGACGCATTCTTTGGTCTCTTCTATTTGATGAATGCTATCGGCTTCGGCCTGGATCTTTCTGCTGTCTCTCGTGGTCCTCTATCGTGGTACCTTTTATGAGAACTTGTTCCTTTACAGCCACCTATCTTCTCGTTAGTTTAAATTTTCGTCTGGAAGACACAATTCTTACCACATTTATCATTTTTACTAAATTTTTTGGTTAATGTCACTCTCAAGTAAAATTGGGGATTATACTTACTGCTCACGGCCACCCACAACATTTGGTGGGCATTTAACTCGGGTGTCTTGATAAATCACACACCATGCCTCGACAATATGTTTCACATGGTCACATTGATAGATAATCTCCTTATAATCGCACATTTTGAAAAAGTTGAAGACCTCGGTTTGGAACATCTATGATTCGAGATATATGTTAAGCAGGAGATAGAACTGATATATGAGAATAAAGATTGTAGCGCATCCCCTGGATAGAACTGCTGTAAAACATTAGCATCACTTGTACAGTAGCCAAAAGTGTAGCTATAAGCACCGATGATGCCCGATGTAGCCCCCAAGACACCGGATGCCAGCCATGACGAGACCCGGGAAAAGATGGGAGCTGATAGGGTTCCAGTCTCTGGCGATGGGTCAATCTCTGCACCTTTAGGAGACATCACACCAATGTGCTATGAGTTCCACTCGGGCTCAATCGATGCGGTGAAGGACGAGCGCTTTCACACAGTATTATACTCCGTGCATGTATATGACTCCTATAATTGCTTTTCGTGCTGGCTCATATTAGCCTGGTCATGCTCAGGCCGCGTTTGTCTCTTTTCTAAAGTCAAAAGTATAAGAACCGAGGAGAGATATAGTTTTCTCTCTATATTTCTACTCACCATTATCATAATCTACCAATCTAACAGCAGATCTAGAAGTAAGGCATGATTATCTATTTTTTTCCTTGCTTTGAGCTAATGAATCGTCGTCTTCAAGACGTCATTCCACGGACGAGGTCTTTCAATCCCAATGTCATTTTACAGAGACCCGGCAATTGTCACTATTCGGGCTATACTGGAGCAGGATGGGCAGAATGCGGGAGATAAATTTCCTCAGATATGTGAAGAGCGTCTGGAACCCGATGTGATAGCTGTGTTCGCACTGGTTGCTTTTCATTATGGCGCTCTTCAGGTTCGTGTACCCGGAGACGGTGAAATCGAGCAACAAGGCTTCGATGAGCTTTTGGAATTCATCTCTCTGGATGATAAGGAAGAAGAGCAATGGGAGGATCTTTTTTGGCGATCTATAAGACCGAAGACCACAAAAATCAAAGACAGTGAAGAACTGAAATCCACTTTTCGTGAGGGTCAGGTATGTTTTCAAAACCATGATTTAATGTAGCTTGCTAACTTCACAATAGAAAGCTGTTCTAGAGCTGGCTAGAAACCACGTTGATTATCTCTATGTTGGAGGAGGGATATTTGGAGCATCTGCAGCGTGCCATCGCATACAGTCGAATTCGACTGCAAGTGTCGCTATTGTCAATCAATCCTCATACCCCAGTCTAGAATCCGCCGGGTGCGACTACAAGATCGTAAGCAGCGCACAGACGGATCCCTTCTATACCGAACTAGCCCTGAAAGCATTGGAGGCATGGAGAAGTCAAGAGCCATATAAACAACATTTCAAGCAAACTGGACAGGTTTTCATGGGAGCAAAAGAACCCGCTGAAAAGGTCTGTGAAAATTACAAGAGAATTTTGGGACAATCCCCAACTGAGCTTGTCAATCCCAAGGACGCGCGAGAAAGATACCCCGTGTTAAAAGATGCTAACTGGGATGACCATGTGGAGATGTGCACCTGGAACAAAGACGCAGGCTGGGCTGATGGAGGAGCCGTCTTGAAGGCGGTATGTGAGGCTGCCTGTGAAAGAGGCGCGAAATATAGAGTGGCAACGGTTGAGAAGCTGTTGAAAAATGATGATGATGTCTGCTATGGAGCTCGGATATTGGAAAATGGCAAAACCCACACAATAATCGCAGATAACATCGTTCTCTGCACAGGGGCATATACATCCAAATTGCTTGCAGAGAGTTTTCCCGACCGAGAGGTTCAGCCTGGCAAGAGACTGAAGGCCGCCGGTGTATCTATGGCTTATTATAATCTGGACCCTGATGCAATAGTTGATTTTGAAAAGGCTCCAGTTGTCGTGAAATCGGTTGGAAAGACCCCAAGTACGTCCTTTCATTGTCGTGAGCTTGTATACACCATGCTGACTTGGTCATTAGGTGAATTTATTCCTCCCAGAGATGATGGGCTGTTCAAAATTGTTGCCGAGCAGAGCTACACGAATATGCAGCAGGTTGGCCAATTCAGATTGTCTGTCCCTCCCGAAAAAGCCTCCCTACGGTGGAACATTAATGGCGATGGCATTCCTCAGCAGCTCAGGGACAATGCTGATGACGCGAAATGGGAGCTGCTTGGAAAGCGGAAGGTCACCCGATTTTCCTATGAAACATGCTGGTAAGTCTCTCCGTTTAAGAAGTATAAGCCTGTCTAATTCTGCGCTAGGGATGCGACCACACCAAACCAGGATTTCATGATCTGCGAGCATCCGGTTGTGAAAAGATTGCATATGGCTACCGGGGGTTCGTTCCACGGGTTCAAGTATATGCCCATTGTGGGCCAGCTTATCAATCAGTCGGTGGACGGGGAGCTCGATGACACTTTGGCTGAACGATGGGCATGGGATGGCAAGGGTTCGGATGGTGCATGTGCAATATATGATCCGGCAGGGGCGGATCTTCAACTCATTATGGGGAGCGGTAGCTAGTAGATGTTGGAGTTAGTTTCTATCCAACGGCTGGATTAACTCGCAGGCTGTGACAAGTTTCATTGGGCTGAGATAGTTATGACTTCATATGTGTCGTACACTTTTGTTTTTCTTTGTTTTTTTTTTTTTTTATGTGGCAAGATCACGTGTTATGACCGACATTGAGCGCGGCTGTTAGGCCCACTTGGGGTACGGTTTGGCTACTCGCCATGACTTCTTGGTATCGATCGATACCTTGAAGCCTGACGGAGCTTTTGCGCCCTCGTATGGGCTTTGTAGCGTAGTTAATGAGAAATTCCAAAAATTACGTTTCGACTGAGTGAGGTTGTTTTGACCCAAAAAGCATGAGTAGCCACTAAGATTAGTTATGTGGGTTCATCTGTGTAGGCTACTGGGGCAAAAGAGCTCTATCACCACCAGCGCACTGCTGGTAGAAGGGCCGACCAACCGCGGGACCCCCAACACCCCCCCTCGGACCAGCTACCACAGAGTACAGTACTTCCCCTCAGTGGCTCCCTTCAGTGGCCTCCCCACAATGGCTCCTTTTTAATAATGGACTGGACCACTCAGTCCTAGGACTCATGGGACTTCTAGGGCACACTCCTGGAATGTCTCTTGGCACTGTTAAAATGTCCAGGGTATTTGTTAGGAATTTTTAAGTCCATTCTGGGATTGAACCCATGCATGTTGACCACAGTGGGGCTCACGCTCAACAGTCTCATAACCTGTAGGCTACTGGGGCAAAAGAGCTCTATCACCACCAGCGCACTGCTGGTAGAAGGGCCGATCAACCGCGGGACTCTCAACAATCTGTTGATGATTACTACACCTACTCTAATCACATGCCACCTCAACATTCATTTAGTGTTAGATAGATTACACACATATAACACAATAATATTATTCTTCAAGAGATTATGAAGCTCTCTATGCAATAAAAAGCTGTAAAATAATGTGTAAATTGACATCTTCATGTATTATTACACATGTCTAGATAATTTATTAATTAATTAAACTCATGATAAACCTGAGATTGAGTGAAAAGCCTGACTTAATAAAGAATTACATGTTAATATGTAGAAGAAGAAATTCACAAACATCTGAAGTATAAGAAGAATTGAGTATAAGCTTATCAATATCTGTAATAAACTGAAAAGTAACTGTATCAGAGACTTTTAAGCTGAATAATATAATTATAAAAGAATAGTCTGATAAGTTTAATAATAAATACAAAGATCTGATTGAAGATATCAGTGAGATATTAGATAATATAGAGAGTTTAAGTAACTGAAATAATAATAGTTCTGTAAGTAAGAAGACTCATATGAGACTAGAAATTATAAGAGTTTAGTATAAAGTCAAGTGAATGAAAGCAGACAGAGATAAAAATGAAAAGCTTAGTATAAATTTAATAAACTATCTTTAATAAAAGAGTAGAATATCTATATTAATGAAGATTCTGAATAAATTCAGAAATTAAGTAAGATTTATAAAGAAGTCTGTTATACTCACTGACTTTGTAAATTACTTCATATAAAAGAAAGAGATTCTGCTCACAGTAAGATAATCTGAAATAGATAATATTTTTAATAATAAGCAGATTAGTTCTGATAAGAATGTCAGTATAAATATATAATATTTTTAATCAGAACAGAATATCTGATTATATAATTATATATAGTCTGTAATTATCTTACAGATTAAATCTTACTTTATTATACTTAAAAAGTCTCAACTATCTACTTATTCTCTATAATCTGTTATAGAAAATAATTTCACTGAGAGATCTACTGTTTACAGAACTTATCTATTTCAAGAATTAATTAAGATAATATTAAAATTAAAGAATTCTGATAGTATATTTATTAAATATTTAATTATAATCAGAACTAATTATATATAATTGAGATATAATGTTAAAGATTTCTTATTTTTTAACAGACTTCTTACAGAGATTAGTAAAGATTGATTGTCTTTTATAAAGAATTAAATGAATATAATAGAGAAGAATAAGAATACTAGAATACTTGAAGATAATTTCATGAAATTATGTTAAGATATTCTTCTATAATTATCAGCTACTGATAAAGCTCTTATCTCTGATGAAAAGATCTCTGTAAATAATGCTCAAGATTTCAACAAAAAGAATAAAAAGAATAAGAAGAAGAAGATCTCTAAGAATAAGAATAAAAATTTCATCAAGCTAAATAGAAAGAGTAATAATATTATTAAAATATGTTATTATTGTCAGAAGATTGATCACATTTAAATAAATTACTAATTGAAATTTTCTGAAAAACACTCTACTAGCTGTGATAAGAATAAGAATAAGAATAAGAATGAAACAGACTCAGTGTCAGTTTATAATATTATTAAGTAAGTATTTTATACAACAGAAACAATCTATTATACTAATTAAACTAATAAAGATATCTGAGTTCTGAATTCTGAATTCAGTGCTCATGCTACATCTTGTAAGAATCTCATATCAATAGTACTACAGAAGATTAATATTATATTGAAGATAACTGATGAATTAACAGCTTCTGCAACAGCTATAGAGAAGATAAATATATTAGTTAAAGAAGTAAATCTGCTGCTGCAGAATGTTCACTACATTTTCAAGCTGAAGATTAATCTTATGAGTTTTGAAAAGCTTGTATATCAGAGCTATATATATAAGTAACTAATCTATAGAAATACTTATTCAATCTTACTAATCTCTTCTAACAAGATATTGAGTTTTACTGTTAAATTAAGTGATAAGAACATCTACATTCTGAAAAAACAATTAATGACTAGAGACTTGATTCAATTTATAATGTTAAATAATGAATTTGAATCTGTGAAAATTCTATAATCTGTAGAGAAAAAAGATTCTCTGCTAGTATTGTTTAATAAGAATATCAAGATTGTTAAATATATAATGTTATAATAGCATTAAAAGCGTGATTATCTCAATTCTATGAATATCACTAAATTAGCAGCAGATTCATAACTAGAAATGAGAATTAAGAGTGACAGAGCTTTATCATTCTACAAGTGTGATTCGGAAGAACGTACAACCGTCGGATAATACCGCGGCCGCTTCCGAACTACTAGTGTACGCGTATGAGTGTAAAGGGGCCATAGCATACACTAATTAATTTAGTGTACAAGATTACAATATAAGAAGCCGGTGTATGCCTGTAATCATACACTGGCTTAAGCAACCTTTGAATCACATCTGGTAGCATGTCTAAAAACTGGTGAGAAGTGCAGGCTTCTTCAGGGTGTGATAATTCCATCTACAAAGCAATTTGTAGTTATCATGCCAGTGTGGTCCTAGAAAACACCTCAAAAGATAGTGTACAAAGAGTGATGAGTGAAAGAGCATTCAATTGATGCTGCTTCACTTGTTGGGAGAAAACTCCACACTCAGGTGCATGCCATGTATGAGATGCAAACAGATGAGATGTGAGAAAGAGAATGAAAGTGATGAACCAGATTCAAAGAAGTCTGCTCCCTACTTAAAAAAAGAATAAAAGAGGGAAGATAGCCATCATCAGAGTCATACAATGATAACAGAAATCATATAACAATATAGTGATAGAATGATACAGTGACATAGCAATATAACAATAGACATTGTATGATTAACCAGAAACCACTGAAATGAATACCTTTTCTAGCTGATATGAACAACACTCTTCTCTGCTACCTGAACTGGAAGATATGCAGAACCTCTCAGAGGGTTTACTTGAAGCAGTAAGAAAAGTAGCTGAGACTGCTGAATCAGAATCAAAGCTTCATACATGTATAAGAATTCTAAACAAGATCAAGGCCTTGTATATGCAGTGACAGGCTGAGACAGAAGTCAAACAACAATTGACATTCACTGTGAATCAAGTATTCACTATGAAGAGCTTTGCTGATGCAATCACCATCATCAATAAGAATAGAGAAAACCAGATCTTAGGCCTGCAGCAGGAGATTGAATGTTTATACAGACAGGTGACTATGCTGAACCTGAAGATCTTATCATGATCATTCATGACCTCTTCAGAAGTGTACACATCATTGAAGACTGCTGTGCAGGATGAGAATCTGAGCATGAAATATATCAAATCAGAAGATCTGTCAGAGTCATTAAGCTTCAATGATGATTAAAAAAATGATGCTATAATCAGCTGACTAAGTCAGATGCAATCATATTATCAGATTGAATGCAAACTCACAGACAGGCAGTTAACAGAATTTCAACAAGTCTTAAGATCTGCTGTGTTTCTACACAGAAAAGCAAAGTTATTATGAATAACTGATGAAAAGATGAATCTCACAGACTCAGAGTAATATTTATTCTCACAAACATGAAATGAGTTTTTCAAATGAATCTTGCACAACTTTGAGAAAGTAAATGCATAAGATAAGTGTTATAAACACTTCACTGAGTGTAGATAAGTGAGTAATCTTATATTGTACTTCACACACTTCAGTCTACACTATCTTACATTGAATGAAGAGCTTTCAACATCTTTCTGTTTATAGATCTTCATTCATGATCTTATGTCTGAGTTGAGAGCAGAATGAAAATGCTTAATCTCACAGTCAGGCACAGTGAAGAAAGCATACAATATTCTCATTGTACAGGAACAAGTGAGTCAATTGTAACAGAAAATACTGCAATTGAGTATATCTCAGTGAAGAACAGATAATCAGACTTCTATAACACAAGTCACATATCTGAATATGATGAATCTAGATCTGAATGCTATTACTAAAGCACTGAATCTCTTAAAAAAGAAATTCTCTGAGTGAAAATCTTGATGTTGCAAGCATCAAGCTTGCTTTAACTGCAGATGTCAAAATCATGATGCAAAAGATTGCACTCAGCATGCACAGTCAAGAGAAACAAGAGAGTCAAAAAACTAGCAGAATCAGTGAGCTCAGAGACACTCACTGATATTCTATGAAAAGTCTTCAAAGTGAAAGAGATGCCTGCATTAGATGACTCTCTGAAT